GGGGGGGACCCATCCGCACCCTGGACCTGCACCCCCTCATTCTGCCAACATGTGCTGAGAGATGACGCAGGGCCCCTCGCCCTCCAGGCTCATGGACAGAGGTTCTTCTCAAAGGGTAAAGGGCCAAGTGACAGGGCAAGAGAATGAGATAAGGGCCAAGACTACAGAAGACTTCCCTTGGGTGACCTGGAAGGCTCCCTGGAAGAGTCAACACAGTTCTGAGAAGGGCAAAGGCCCTTTTTGGAAAGCACCTATGACAGGAGCCAAGGTCACTGTCCCTGGTTTCTGTTTCTTGGGTACCATGAGGGTAGCGCAAAACCAAACACCAGAGAGTGGATGGGTATGGTGTAGTGCAAAGAACGTAGGTTTCAGGAACAGGCCGACCCAGGTACAATTCCGGGGCTGGCATTTCCTCAAATGGTATTGCCTTTGTCTCTCCAGACTCCAAACTCCAGATCATTAATCTGTAAAGAGGCAATAATCAATTTCTCCCTTACAGTCTGTTTGTGGGGCCTGTCATGTGCCCTGGGTTGTACTTGACACATAGTAGGTGCTTAACGGAGGTTAGGCAGTCCCTCCTCCTGTAAATGGTGCACCAAAAGGAGGGCTGTTCACACCCAGAATTACACCTACTCAGCACCTTGGCAGGCCAGTGAACCCCGTCCCCTCACACTTGTGGTATAGCTTTGCAAATGAGCTTGTTTCCTGTGTATGGTGGGTGTGAGAATTCTAAGCTGAGCCACAGGGTCTACTTTAGAGGAGAGTCCCCCCAACAGCTTCAACACACACACACACACACACACACACACACACACACACACACACGCACTCCCTATCCCAAACACCAGACATATCATCAGACATTGCGTGTGTGCATATGTGGGCAGAAGCAGAGTCAGGGTCTACACACACAACACACATTGGATCTTACAAGGCTATACATCCCCTCACAGGCTGATGACTTCAAGGCCAAGCTCCGTTTAGTGAAAGCAATGCTGAGGGGAGCTGGGTGTGAGGGTGGGATGGGGGCAGGCAAGACCAAGATACCATCATCCAGGGATGTGGCCAAACTCCAGTGTTGGCTTCAAGTGCCTGGTGCTGTGTTTCCAACATTTGTTCTGAAGAACAGCAGTTCACGGAGTGCCTGGGTGGCTCAGTCGGTTGGGTGTCTGAATTCAGCTCAGGTCATGATCTCACAGTTTGTGAGTTCGAGCCCCTTGATGGGCTCTGTGCTGACAGCTCAGAGCCTGGAGCCTGCTTCGGATTCTGCGTCTCCCTCTCTCTCCACCCCTCCCCTGCTCATGTTCTGTCTCTCTCTCTCTCTCTCTCTCTGTCTCTCCCTCTCAAAAATAAACATTAAAAAATATTAAACAACAACAACAATAAAACACCAGTCTCATGAAGCACCTGGAGAGAAAATGGTCTTGGGGCCAAATCCACATGGCCTCAGCTACCAACCAGCCCAACGCATGTTAATTTCATAGTCAATGTCAGCTTGTAAAAGCTTTGAAAGTTCCCCCAGAGTAGGGGCCTGATTGATTTTGTCCAACTCATCAT